CCTGAAGGCCCCCCCCCCCCCCCCCCGGGCTGAGTTATTTTTAAAGGCATTGCCGATCATTGAAGGCTTTCGCTCTCCCTTGGCTACTGAAATTAAGGAGAATCGTTCTTTTAAAGTGAACCTCTCTCCGCTCCCCCACCCCACCCCCCACTCCCACTCCATTTTAATAGCGCGGCTATAATTAGAAAAAGCTGAGGCAAGGAGAGCATCTGAACGTAAAAAGACACCCACTCGGAGGCCGTGATCGGGTTTTTCCTTGAGATCTGCGGTCCCTAGATGCTCTAATTCGGATCCCGGCGGCGATGGAAACACCACTGTGCCAAGGCCGTCGTTGCGCTAAGCCGTGATAAACCCGGCTGATGATGAGACAAAAATGTCCTCGACCACGAGGCACCCGCCGCCTTTCCTCTCGAGGAAAAGAAAGGCTGGCTAGTAGTTACACGACGGGCAGAAAGGAGATGTTCGCCTCCATCTCGGCTCCGCCATCTTAAAACGGAACACAAAAGGGAACTGGACTTTTGAAGAATAAAGGGCCTGTAGCTCCGAAAACTAGCACTTTCGGGTATCCGAAAACCTGGGATCCAGGTTCGAATATAGCTTCTTCAACGAGGCCACAAACAGCCCAGTTCTCCACTCTTGCCTGCTCCGAAACAGACATGGTCTTTCACAGAGCTTAAGGGCGCTTACTCCCCTCTAAGTGGTGCGAAAACGAAGCCTCCGATCAAAAGTACTTGGGCTATTCTGAGGAAACGCCCTGAATCATCTTAGGGCTGTATCCTTACTCACTTGGGAACTTCGGAAGCCTTCTTCCCTCGTGAACAGATGGAGGTTCCCGAACGGGAGGAGGATTCGGGTCCCTCTGAAGAGTTTTGCGGGTAGGAAGAGACGGCCTTAGAAGGAACGCCTGCAGCGCCAAGTTTCTCAAGCCATTGACCCTGACAGATACTGATCTGGTCTTTTAAAGACCCCGTTAAAAGACAACGATGAGGATCCTAACCGTTCCATGGAGACTGTGGGTTTAAAGAGCAATACTCTCCCCCCGCCCGCCGCCCGCACACCTCCGTTTTCCTTCTTGCTTTCAAGTGAAATTGCCTTCGTTTTCAAAGTGCTTATAGTAACGGAGCGGAGAACGTATTCCGTTAACCAAGGTTCCACACTGCTCCGCAGGCTTGAAGCGAGGGGTGAATACAACACACGTCTCTGCCACGGAAACTTAGAATCACCAGAGACTAGGAACAGCTTAAATCAGTTTGTTCCATTCCGTGGAAAAGGCGGGAGGGAACACATCCTTACATCTCCATGTGTATTTCCTGAGGAATACATAATCCATTCTCCACGCTGGGATGGCCGAACTTGCTCCCGCCGCAAGGGTGAAGACTGCTTGGGTGCCCTAATTCGGGGCTCTGTGCATCTATCTACACAGGAGGAACCGCCAGTGAGTTTAATGGGGCTTCCTCCCGTGTAAAAGGGTGTAGACATTGGAGCCTCAAAAGAGCAACGCATTGGGTTATTTTGGAATCAAATTCTCTCTGTGGGGGCGAAAATTAGCTTGACCTACAGCTACCCTGTCAATTTCAGACTGGCCAAGGTCAGGCTCACAATTTCTGCTGGACCCCTTAGAATAATTTATCCTTGAATGCTACGACAAGTACAACGTGGTGGCCGCTCATTTTAAGGAGTGTTCTTTCTCAGTGAGCTATGGCACTGTTTTATGTTCGTTTTCCTAACTTTTGACTCATAACCTCAGCCTGAACAGGACAGCACGTGCCTACTTTTCCTTCGGAGCAAATAATCACAATAAAAAGAAGTGCATTTGCTCAGCGTAAGCCAGTAGAGTGAGCAGGAAGAGGAATATAAATTCAGATTAGATCTGCTATCTATTTGAAAAGAAGCAGGAATCTCTGTTATCTCACTGGCGAAATTTTTACTGGTGTATACTCACTGAAAAAAAAAACAGAAAGTAACTTCACCTAAGCTGCACATGCCCGAAAAAGCAAGGGAATAACAACCAATAGTATATACTGTATATAGAAAAGACTGCCAAATCAAGAAGAGGGTTAAAATAGATTTACTTCTTTTGAGCTGAAATTATGACTTATCCTTTTGACATTAACTTAGCTATAAATCTGGCTTTTCTTCAAAACTGAATTTAGGAAGATCTGAATATGAGTGACAGGAAGGAAATACAAGTTAGCAGGATTCCACATATATCTATGTTGTTGACCATGGGGAAAACAAATAGAGAAAAGGCACCTATCTTAGATTAAAATAAAATTTAAAAAAAATCCAGGCATGGACAAACTAACACACAATTAAACAAGTTTTTTAATTTAATTCTAAATAAAAGAGATAAGAAATAATAACTCTTCAATAAAATATATAAAATTGTACAAGGCATCCCTTTCAAAGGGATTTTAATATGCTGGGAGTAAAAAGGGGGAGAACTGAGTTAACGGGCAAGACATCGCAACACAGTCTGTAGCAGGGCAAACAAAACCCCAGCACAACTCATGTGGCTCTCTGTTTTCGTAACATGCGACAAATACATCTCCAGAGAAAGTTCTGTTTTCACCAACCTGCATCCTTGATAGACAGCTTACCAAAAAGTTCAGCAATAGTAATAATAAAATAATTCAAAAAAAAAAAACCACACACACAACAACAATGGGTGATGTGCCAAATACACTAAATAGAACTTGTCCCCCACCTAGGAGGGGAAAAAAGAAAGGAAGGAAGGAAGGAAAGGTTGCCCTGTCTTTAGAGTAAATGGCACTATCTCATTACCATAAGTTTGCTTGGTTTTCTGTGATTGAAAAAACACTGAAGCATAATTCATTTTTACAAGCTAATAATGGTTAAAGCATAGGATATTGCAATTAAAAATCAAAATAACTCTGCAACATGGTTTGATAGTCTCTCTGCACATACATGCACACACCAACACATATACACACAGCTCTTTTCTTCATACTTCTGCCTGGTTGTTCTTCTTCCTGAAATAGTTCAAAAGGTCAAGCTTTTGTGGGCTTGGCAAGAAGTGCCAGTTCTTAAGCAAAACCAGGAGACCAGGATCAAGACCAAAACTCTTCCAAACCATTCAGGCCTTCCTCCTTTGCCATCACATTCAGACACACACGCATACTCTTTATATGGTGCCTCGGAGGAATAAACTGCCAACTAAGGGCAGGCAGACTGGCCACTAGCATGAACCCTTTCTATGGTAGTCCTTCAACTACTAGATATGAAGCAACCTCATGTCTATGGACAGCAAGTCTTGGAGGACTGCAGTTTAGAAGGACTAAACTTAGTTCACTAACTCCTTGCTTTGCTGGGCCAAAGCGATGGCCCACTTTGTCCAGATGTTTGCATCCAAGGCACTCTAGCAGCTTACACATCCATTTAAAGATTGTAATGCACTGTACAATTCAGCAAGAAATGCCGATATCAAGCCAGTGAGACTCTCATTCTGCCACACCATAAGTCAGCTTTTAACTGCCAACATTGGTTTTATAAATAAAACTCATGAGTACCTTTATGCTTTTCCCCCATCTAATTAAAAAAAACAAAAAACAAATTTAAGCTGCACTCTTTACATGCACACACTTAACGGGAGTAAGCACCATTGAGCAGAGTGGGGCTTACACCTGAGTAAACATACGCAACAGCAGGTATTATCTTTCTCACTGAAGAGAACGAGCTGTTCCTGCTTGTTAAGGAAAACATATGTCACGATCCTCCGCGGGAAACATCATGGGGAAAAATATATGCTATGAAAACACATGATTTAATGTTTGATTCCTTCTCCCTTCCCAGACCCATGTGCAGTATATAAACTCTATTGGTTTAAGCATATGTGTGTTTTCTTTTTTTAAAAAAAATCCCTCTCTTTCAGGATCAGATTCATAAAGTCAAGATGACACCAGGCTGGTTCCCCAACCTGTAGAATACAGTGTCTGTGTTCAAACTTCTATATACTTATAAGGCACATATAAACATGCAGGGGGAAAAAAAAATCACCAGTCCTGGTTTCGTACTGCACTCTTCAATAGGAGGAGATCCATCAGAAAGTCTCATACGGCATTGCTGCTGTGCTTTGCTTCCCAGTCTTCTTAGGATAAGTGGTACATGCTGTATCCAACCGGAGTAGCATAGAGTCCTACAGGTGGGATCGGAAGCACAGGTCTGTGAAAGGGATAGGACGTTCCATAGAGGGAAGCAGCCTGGAGAGGGGAATTGATGGGGAAAGGAAGACTAAAGCCGGAAGGCAACATGGGCTTGGCTGCCATTTTTAACTTCTCCAGCTCTGCTTCCTGCAGTCTCTTTGCCTTGGCTCTTCGGTTCTGGAACCAGATTTTGACCTGGGTCTCTGTGAGGTTCAGCGAGCTTGAAAACTCAGCCCTTTCCGCAATGGAGAGGTATTGCTTCTGACGGAATTTGCGCTCCAAAGCTAGCAGCTGGGAGGTGGTGAAAGGGGTGCGGGGCTTCCGATTGGTCTTGTGTTTTCTCAGTGTGCAGGCTGTGGGACTCAGGTGTCCTGCAAGGAAAAAAAACAAAGATCGGTTACCGACAGAGGAAGCAAGGGGAGCTGCCAGCTGCTGGAGGAGCCCTTTCCTCCTCCCTAGCATATATATAAACAAAAATGCAAAAAAATATATATATAATAACATTTTGGAAAGATGAAAACAGAATAATGTGTAGACGACCCAATCACTAGGGGCTGGAAAAAGGGAGGTTCGATGGGAGGGAAAGTATCTCTCGGTTGCAACCAGACCCTGTTGTGCAGAATGCTGCATAAGTTCTCCTACTCTCGTCTCTCTCCTTCATGTGCACAAACATGCTGTCTCACAACAGGAAGATAAAATGCTTGGATTTAAAATAAAGCATGGAGGTTACACTTATGTAGGGTATGTGAAAGAAAGCCAAACACAGCAAACAGAGACAGCTGCCTTTTTTAAAAGAGCAGTTTGGACTCATACACTGAACAAAGTGTAGCACACTTCCAATTAATAATGTAGATGGCTTAAGTCTGGTTTGAACAAACACAGATAGATGAACCCACTGTGCCACAATAAAAGTCTTATACTGTATCAATCAGCTAAGGTTTTCTTTTAATTTTCAGCATTAGTAACCCAGCCTACATATTCCACATTATATTTATCTGCACTATTTAAAATGTTCTGAGAAAATATGGGTTACTCTGCCTTCGGTAGTTCTCTTGGGAATTATCCCACTGTGACTGTTATTTCACACATTTCATGAAAAGAAACTTTGGACTGCCATCAACCGTACACTTGAAAAGCACCTGCTGCTCCTTGGTGAGTGCATGTCTCCTATACACGAGTTCGTCAAATTAGCACCTTACACTTTAAAGTGTACACTTAAAGCATCTTGAATGTACAGCTGGAAGAAAATGTGTGACACTTTTACGAGCAGTCCTGGTCCATCCCCTCTCCCTTTAGATATTAGAATCCTCTAAGCAAGTTTTAGACTCCCAGTGAATGAATTATAGCCAAATTCTGTTATGGCCAACTCCTCATATCAATGGGAACCCAAGGAATATATGGTAGAATTTTTGACAATTACTTCTTTTGGACAGCAATTCCATCCATCCTCACCCAATGAAAGTTACTTCCATGTTCTGCATGAGGAAGTACAGAGACGGTTACAGTGTGTGAATGGATAAGCAAACAAAATCATGATGTGCTCTCTTGTCCACAATTTTAGGTGCTGGTTTTGCTGTAATCGTCATATAAATGTGCAGTCAGATAAAATGGCTTAAAAACCAACAAAGATGTTGGCCCCAATGTTCCCAAGACACTATAACACATGGTTACATTGATATCACTACTCAATATCACCTCAATAATACTCTCATGACCTAAAGATATACTGCAAAATCCATCCACCATGCTTTTCCACACACTTGCCACCACTTGCTCCCCCCCATTTCTGCAACATTTTCCTTCTATATCTGCCAATGCATACATGCCATTGCAATAATAATATCTGGTCAATGAACCACACAAGTAATATACCACCTGTGCCTTCCTCTTACTGAATTCCTACAGGTGATCAAGGAGACAGAAGGTGGAATATATGACTAAAGGAATGAGTTACTAACTCGAACTGAAAAACAGAATGTCTCGTCGGGGATAGAAACAAATGCATCCCCAGTCGCTACTTCTCATGATTTATCCAGCATGAATGACATCTTCAATTAGAAGAGTTGGTTGAAACTGCCTGATGATCCTGATAGAGATCTGAGATGGGGTGTGTGGTGGTGGAGCATGGTTCTTTCCTTGTCTTGCCAGGTTCATTGCCAAGATGTTCAGTGAAATCAGTGGTAGACTTGTGATCTTTGGGCAGACAGACGGCTGTCATTTGCTCCCCTCAGTTTAGGTTACTGTAGTCTCCTCCAGCAACAGCAAAGACTACATTAAGAAAGCAGGAGGCTGGCACACTAATTCAGCATATTTTCTGACATGCGCTAATTCGTAGAAAATATATAATTGCCAACATCTGTCATTAATATAGAATGAAGAATTTGTTTCATAGCTCGTTCCATTACCACAGAAACCCTGCAATTTACATAGAAAGCACAATTTGAAGTTGTTCTGACTTTAAGGGCCCAGAAATACTAGGAGAAAAGCAAGGCAAAATAAGCAAATACATGTGGAAAACTGCCAGCACATCAGACTCTGAACATATTCGCTATGCAGCTAAAGCATACTGAACCTTGGCACTCACTTCTGAATACTGGGGAACATAGTCCAGGATGGGCCATTTGGAAATTTACAGGAGACCCATGCATGTTTACTCAGAAATGCATCCCAGCATGTTCAACAGGGCTTCCTTCTTAGTAACAGTGTTTAGGATTTCATTCTAAGAATGGTGTAATCGTTTTATGGGAATGATCACATAAGAGACAGATGCTTTCTAAGGCAGTATTTAAGATGATATTTAAAGATATTTAAATAGCCAGAGGTACACTTCAAGTAACAAGTAATCACAGTAAAATTCTGGTTTGGGGAAAAATAGCATTTTGGTTACTTCTTTTTCAGATGTTTAAAAATGCTTTTAGAAAGTTCAGGAATGCACTCAAATCTGAAATCTAAAATATACTGGAGTTGTAATAGAAAAATCCATTTAAAGTCAACTGATTTTCTATCTCTCTCTAAATGAGAAAGTGTTTATTTTTTTCTCCCTGAGAGGGAAGCTTTATTTACACCATGAACATTTCTTACACTGCTGTAACAGAAAATAACCACAATATTGAAGTTTCACTTACATGTATAGAGTTTGGAAAGAAAATGTATCTTTTGGATAATGCAAGTGATGTTATTGGGCCAAAACAAGATTCTATTCCTCAACACGAATGCTACATTCTGGGCCCATTTTTCGAATTACAACCTGGCTTCTGTGGTCAGGATCAAGCTTTGCTTAAAAACAGGCAGCATAACCCTAACCATCACCAAGAGTTACTTATCTACAAACTATACAAGCTTAGGTTCACATTAACACATAGCAGCAAGTTAAAATATTCCAATGAGAATTTTTTCAGTCCAAAACATCTCCAAAGGCACAGGTGCACTAAGTTTCAAGTCCCCACCCCCAGTAAGTATGCACAGGATTCTAATCTTAATAAAGGTTCTGTTGTATTTTCACCCCACTATTAAGATATAAAGATATAGGATGGCAGATGTTTTGCCTTTTCTTCTTAGCAGTAGTTACAGAAAGCAATTATTGAAGATGAAAACTTCAGGGGTAAGTAAGTCTCAAGTGAAGGCTAACATTAAAAAATGCAATAGGTTAAAAGCCATAATGTTTGTTTCAAAAATAAAATGTTAACCATTGTGTGGGAAAAATTTTATATTCTAAAATCTGTGCAATTTTTAAAATGATCTCCTAACTGGATTCGCTGTCAATCTGTCTATTTCTCTACTTATTTCAAATGTGATCTCTACTCTTCTACGGCCACTGTTATATATTGCCACTGTTTAAAGGTGATGGAGAGCCCGAAAGCACAAACTAAAAGGATTTAGAACAGCAACAGCTTTTGAAACCATCTCCCACACTATTTGTTTCAGTGTCTTACTTACTCACTATAAACATCCATCCCACCTTTTCTCTTCTCAATCCCCCTTCCTCTTTTATTCACTCACTCATTCATTTTTTCAATCCTCAGGTAATTTTTAGCCTGTTTTATTATCTCAAGATAGATGTGCTCTAGCCAGATGATCAGTTTTACTTTTCTTCACCTGTGAAATCATCAAATTTGAAAGTCAATCAGGCCTCGAATACTGTAAGGAGGTCTTAAGAACCCAGATCAACTTAACTAGCAGTAAGCCCTGTTTAATTTCACAGGACTTACTTCAGGCTGGAGAAGCCTAGGAATAGCCTCTCAATTTGTACGACTGCTCAGAAACCTCTGTGATCCTGTCCTTTGCCCCTGCGGACAGGCAGGCGTTTCTTCTTCACTTCAAAACAAACCAGTTTGGAATTTCCACTGAAATCGACTAGAACTGTAACTTCCTAGAAAATGCTGATTTAGGATGAGTTTCAGATTTTTTTTCTACTGTTTTCTTAACCCAAGTCTGTTCCAAAGGGAAGCAAAACAGGCCACAGACAGGAATGAATTCTGCGGAGAGCTATAAAGAAGTAAGCTTGAATTCCAATATATACTCAACTGTGGTTATTATTTTTAAAAGCATACACACACATCCCTGCTATTTGTACTTGAGAGTTACAAGCATTTTCTGACAGCTTAGGAAAACCGGATGCTTTTCTAAGTTATGCCACGATTAAGATTTAGACCGATCAGCAGCTTTGGATGATGGGGGGAGAGGGGAGGACAGTGTGCAACCCTATGCTAATTCACTCAGGATGAACGCTAATGCCTTCAGTAAGACAGATTCATGTGCATAGGATGAGGACAGGATCAGGAACTAAAACTTTGGAAGGCACAAAAGAAAAAGCTAGGCCATGGCTTCCTTTTGGGAGACTTGGTGGAATGGAGTGTAGAAAGGTGGGAAAATATATGACAATAAGAAGCAATAAAAATGTATGCTTGCCATTCTTTGTTGTTGTTGTTTAGTCATTTAGTCCTGTCGGACTCTTCGTGACCCCATGGACCAGAGCACACCAGACCATATATTTTCTCTAACAATTGGGGGGGGGGAGAGAGACTATTTTTAACCCAGCAAAGGGGCAACAGTAATTTATACCTTGATTCTTAAAAGTTCCATTAAAAGCAACATGAATGAACCCAGTGCCACCTCAGAGGCTAGTGCATCTTTGGGGCTGAAGAATTAGAAAAGGATGGATCATTTTGCCTTTTATGCTGGAGTGGAGTCTGTGGCCCCTTCTCAGGGTTCGATCTTAAGGTACTAGGAGCCCTTTTCTACAACTGACTAATGCAGCTAAGAAGGACTAGCACTCCTTCGGAAATTAAGAAGAATGCAAGGGATTCGTTTTCCATGTCTCTCCTTTTCTCCAATACGCTCAGTCCTGGACCCTATTCCGAAGCAATAATGGTTCATTAGAGCAGTGTGTGCGCATTTCCACAATACTGTCCAACCAAGGTTTACCCTGGGCTAGTGTATAAAAGGGTAGAATAAGAAACAAAGCCTGACTCAGGACTTGAGTTAAAACACCAGCCAGTAAGCGGTATTATACAAACTCTGAAAGTGCTGGAAAGTGGAAGAGAGAGACCCAGTTTAGAGGATCAGAATAGATTTCTCGACTATTTAAACCAACACAGAGATGTAGCCGGAGGAAGTTGAAGCCAGGGCGGGCAAGCCCCCGTGGTGCTACCGCGGGGTCTACAGGAAGAAGGTTGTAAGGCAAGCGGAGATACGGAAGAGCTCCTGGCGTCAAGGTTCCTTCTTCTTACAAATTAGGAGAAGCGCCATCTGAGAACTCGCCGCCCAGGTGAAAGGAGAGGGAAGTTCAGGTCTAATTAAGAAACAAGTTCGATTCCTTTCCGGATCGCGTGTTTTTGGGTTTGTTTGGTTTTTTTGTGTGTGTGTTTTTTTTGTTTAGTTTAGTTTTTTGTTTTAATGCTGCTCCGGGGATGCTCCTGGCGGCCCCAAACAAGACTCCGCGGAAAGAGAGGAGCAGGAAGAGTAAATAAATAACACAGCCGGTGAGGTGGCCGTCGGGCCCGGCAGGCAATCCGGCGGCGGCTACAGGTGCATGAAGGAAGGCAGCGGAGAGCGCTCCTAAGGAGGATCACCCCCGTTTCCCCGAGCTGGAAAGGAAGCCCGGCCGGTCGGCCTCGCCAGCCTCTCTTCCACTAAGGGGGAGAAGGAGGAAACCCCGCTGCCACGTAATAATAAAAAGAGGTCACTGGTCAAATAACAAAGAGGATGCAACGAGAGTACTTTTCATCGGTGAAAAGTTTGTTCACACAGACATAGCAAAGGCGGAGAAACTGTTTTCCAAGTGGACGATCCGGTTGGGATCTGCCGTGATCAAATAATGTAAGGAAGGGGAGGAACGCGAAAGAGGGCCTGAAACATTCACGGCCTCCGTGCCGACCCAAGCTGAGAAGAGGCCTGAGTCAGAGAGAACCGGACGGAAGGCGAGGGTTTTCCTGGCGGGGATAGGTCGGGAGACCCAGAGAGCAAGCCCGCCAGGCCGCTGGACTCGAGGGGGCCAGATTCGGTCCCTTCCCGCGGAGGTCCCGCAGAAAGGAACGGGAGAAGATAGCGAGGGACGTTTCGTACAGACCTAAAGGCAAAGAACAAAAAGAGGAGCACGAAGGCGCCGGCCGAGAGACATAAGAGGTGAAGCTAGGAATAAAGCAGAGGCAGAGTTGCCCGGAGCCCTGCTTGGCGGCATGTTTTTAAATTTTTGCTTTCGTTTCTCGAAATCGTCGTGAAAAAAAATGACTTTCCAGAGTCCAAGCTGCGGGATCTGACTTGAGACGGTCGGTCTCTCCCTCTCTTCCTGCCCGCCCCCCCCCTTGCCTTCCTCCTGGCTTCAAGTAGGGAGACTGGCTGATCGACTCCGGCAATCACTGGCCCCCAACGGGCTAGGGGGGAAAAACAGGCCCTTTCTGTCCGATTTCGCCTTCAGCCCTCAGTCCCCGTTAGCCCCCTCCCGACACACAACCACACACCCCCCCGCTCTTCCTCCCCCCTGCTGCTGCCCCGGGTTGTCGGGGCTGCTGTGCCCCGGCGGGAGCTCCGGGCTCCAGACTCACTTGGCGGAGGAGAGTACCGGCCGGCCTCGGGGATCCAGGGCGAGCCGTCCTCGGAGTTCTCGGATTTCACCGACGAGGTCTCGAAGGTTTTTGTAAGCCCCCCGGGGCTGGGAGCTTCCCGGGCGACGGGAGCCGGCAAGAGCAAGTTCCGGCTGGAAGAAGAAGAGGAAGCAGAAGCGCCCAAGCAGCCGGCCCCCTCCACGCCGCCGCCGCCGCCGCCGCCGGCGGGCTCTCGGGGAGGCTTCTTGTCGGACATGAGCGCTTCCACGCTGAACGGCAAACTCGAGACCTTGACTTTGTGGTGGGCCTCCTCGGCCGCGGCCACTGACGCCGCCGCCGCCGCCGCCGCCACGGGGCCCTCCTCGTCCGAGGAGGAGAAGACCTCCTTCGCCTTGGAAGGAGAGGACATCGCGGCGTGGATCCCTCGTCGCAAGGATCCCTGCCCGGAAAGCTGCTGCTGCCGCCTCTGCCTCTGCCTCTCTGCCTCCGCCTCCGTTCGCGCCGGACCGCGCAACCCCTCTCTGGCTGAGGCGCTCCCGGACGCAGCGCCGCTCCCGCTCCCGCTCGCCTCGCCTCGACTCCCAAACAGCCGAGCCCCTTTTTTTCTCTTCCCCTTTTTTTTGGGAGACTTCTGGCCTTTTCCTCCTTTGGGAAGCGGAGTAAGCGCGGCTTAGCCAATGGGAGCCACCCTGGGCCGGTGACGTCAGGCCATGACTCATGTGATTGGCTCCGAATCTCTTCGAGGCCAGGCTCCGTCGTCTTCGTTCTTTCTTTCGTTCTTTCTTTCTTTCCCTTTTAAATAAATTAGAAGTTAATGACACGGGCGGCCAACGGAGTCTCTGCTAGGAGGCTGCGCTGTAACTCTGCCAAAACAACAGGGAAGTCAGTGGAGTAATTAGGGCTGATGATATGAAGAGGAAACTCAGGAGATCGCCGGTTCTTCTCTACCCTGCCGGCCTCCGCCGCCACCCCCGCCCCGCCATTTAAGCCTCTTTGCGCTGGAAGGACGGCGGCATGTGTGTAAGGGCAGGATACGCCAGGCGCCCAGCTCGCCCTGACAGCGTCAAAGCGCGCCCAGAGGGGCCTTGGGGAAGCGCCTTCTTTCTGCCCGGTTTTTTTCCCCCCCTTTGGGGTGGGGAGGTTCCCTCAAAGCCGAGCCAAGTCGGGCCCCCTCTTTGATCGATGGGACTTGTCTTGGCCCCTAGCGTGGTTCAGATCCGGATCCTCTTGAAGAACACCTGGCGGGGCCTGCCAGGCCTTCCGAGAGGTCAGGACGGACGCCCCCTCCACTAAAACGACGCGGGGCAGGGCTGGGGAAAGAGCGCAGGGAGGAAGGCCCGAGGCGATGTCAGTTTCGATTCCAGGTGTTGGGGGGGGGTTTGGAAGCGGCGTCGCCCACGGGCTGATGGCGAGAAAAAGCCGCCTGGGACGCTCTCAGTTGACGTCTTCTTCCAAAACGGAGCACGCCGGTTTGAAAACCCGCCTCGTCCACACACACACACCCACACCCTCCTCTGTCCGCAATCGCGGCATAACTGCGGCAGCCCTTAGGAAAGGAGCAAGCGCAGAGAAGGCACGATTCACAACAGGGCAGGCCAGCCGGAGATCTTGGGGCGAGGAGGCAGCCCCCCCCCCCCGGTTCCCAGACGGGCTCTTTAGAAACCCTGCCAATACACCGGATTGCCTTCTTTCCTCGTCTCAACCACGTGCATTTGTGATGCGGAGGGATGGCTGGTGAATGAACTAAAGGAGGGGGGGGGCTTTTTCTTGGTGGAGAAAACATGAGCATCTGATGCTCCAAACCCTTTTAATTCGAGGGATTTGATCCGATCCAATAAAGTTGATTCTTCTGTCCCATTTCCCTCGAAAATATCCATCCTTGGGATGGATCCGTTTTTACGGGACGGGGAGCAATTTCCATGTAGGCAACTAACTCACCTCTTCCTTCAGGTAACAAATTAAATGCATTTGAGACGGAGCCTTCTTTGGCTTCTGCTTTATAAGAAGTGATTATATTGATAACATGAGTTGCAGTAGGCGCCGCACCCCTTGATGACAAACAGATGCATTTTGAATGAGCCAAGGAGCCTGGAGCCAGCGTCCGCCCGCTCCTGTCTCCTCCGGGAGTTCACCCCCCCCCATAAATCGCCCCGAGGAGGGCCGCCTCGCCCCTCTTTTCGACTTCGGACGAGACAAGCCAGCGATGTGTCTTCGTTTTAAAGCGATATTTCAATTATCAGACCGAGAAAGCAAACCCTTGTTGCTGTTGTTGTTGTTGTTGTATTGGCTTTATAATTACTTTCATTTCGTAATGATGCCCATCTAATTAGCCAGTGATAATTATTGCTGTTGTTATTAAAACGTGAGCGTTGGAAGGTAACAGCGGCCAGAAGGTGGGCGGGGTGAGGTTGGGTTAAAAAAAAGAATTGAAAGGGAGGACAGAATTATACCTCGTTTCAGAATAAGAAAAATTACTCAACAAACATGGTGCAGTATTACTCATGTATTAAGCGCCTGGGGTATTAAGTCCATTAAGCGTGAACAACAAAAATGTTTCTACATTTAAGTAGTACATCTTGGGTTGATACAAATGAGGCTGAATTCCGCTTTTATTCTCCAAAAGGAAGGTGGGAAATCTGAAAAACGACAAGGACAAGCTTTAGCAGACTTCTAGGAAGCCCCTGGCTTTGTTGCCCAGTTATCTGTATCGAGGATGCTTTGAGAAGTGGCCTCTTTCAACTGTTCTCAAACGCTGCTCGGCTTTCAGAGCTGAGAAGGATGTCGAGAGGACCCGTGCGCCGCCCCCCCCCCGGGGTCCCACCCAGCCAAGGACCCGAACCTCTGCGGCGCGTCTCACCCCGCGGCACTTCTCCGCGTCCCTGCTTCTGTCTCTGTAGTCGCCGAGTCTCCCCGCCCCACCCGGAGACGGTGGGTCTCCCCACAGGGTCTCCAGGTAAGATCTGCTCGAGTTTGCATCTTCTTCCCTGCACCATCACGAGTATTTCAGATTTAAAAAAAAAGAATTCGATGACTTAGGAAAAGTACCGGCTTAATACTCGGGTGTATTAGCAGTGATTGCCCCAGCAAGCACCCCTTCCAATTCAACAGGCCTGTCGGACTAGTAGTGTCTTGAGCAAGCGGAAGCTTCTAGCCGAGATGGGGGGGGTGTCTCTGCTTGGACAATGGTCTCCCTCTTCCCTAACTGGATCCATATCCAGCCCTCTACCCCATTCTATACCCCCCCAGGTCCGCAGCGATCACTTCCAGTTAAGAGGGGGGGGGAGAGAAAAAAAAAGGCTTGGACGTGATCTGGGGCCCCAGCTCCCCCTCCGGCCGAGACCAAGGCAACCTGGCCGTCGTTTTTCACCGAGCTGGTCGGCCTCGTTCGGATTCTTAAAGGGCCCCCTGCACGCACACGCAGCCTTGAGGCGTCAGAGAAACTCGTCAGCCGAGATGGCAGTTCTTTTACTTGCGCACCCTTACCTGGGAGTAAGTCCCAGTCAACTTGAGGCTTACTTCTACATAAAGGTGCTTGGAAGAGAAAAAAGCTGCCACGATGACAAGAGGCATCCCCTGCTATTCCGGTCTGGAAGAGACGAGCAATTAATTCGTTTCAGGGTGTTCGTCACTGATGTGTTTGTAGGCGTACTTCCACCCATCCTTTCAGGTCTGTGAGAATTTAAAGACAGACAGATTCACCCAACACGAGCATAGGCCTGCAGCTCTGACTCATTCTCCCCTCTCCCTTTCGCTTACACCAGGCAAAGACCAGCCGGCTTGGTCAGAACCTCTGGCTCCGTGTTTACTCCGGTTGCTCCACAAAAGGATGAATGGGCCGTGCAGATCATTAAATTAATGTTTAGGGAAGATTGATGCACGTTCTTTCTCGTCTCTTGTCTTTAAAGGCTGCCCTTTAAAGTTATATGACATCTATTGAAACGTCACGTTGCAAAATGGGTAGAAAATCGGGGAATGGGGCGCTGGCTGGGGGGAGATTAGCCAGGTCCTGCTATCTGGTCACCTCAACTTATTTTAAACATCTGCTTTTAGCAAAGATAGGCAACGTTGTGGTGGTAACGCGTCTGGAGCCCGATTCTCTCTCCCTCTCCCCACACGTGTCAAGTAAAAGAGAACGGATGAAAATCGGGAAACAATGTTGTGTAAACAAGACACAATGAAAAGCGATCGTCGCCGGCCCAAGTGCTACAGATAATTACACCGAATCAATGCAACGTTTCTATCGGTCAAGAATAGATGTAAGCTGAGGGTCAGGTCGCCGCGACCTAGCGGAGGGAACTGGGGTGAGTTGAAGACACTCGAGGGGCTGCCTGTGTCTTCGGAGGGACGTGCGGATTTATTATCAGGCTCTTCGTATCCGATCCCTTCACCACCTTTCTTAAAACGTCTTCATTGTGCCTATATATCGTTTGACACCCCTCCACCCCGTCCAACTGAGCAGACATATCCGCCTTTTCCAAGCCAACTTATTATTTTTATTATTATTCCCCTCACGTGAAAACCGTTTATTCGGAGTTCAATAGCCTGTGCATCAACTAGGGGGAAGTTTTTGCTATAGAAAGTCCCCCCCTTTCCCCCCCCCGGCGGGGTTGTCCCTTCCTTGGCACATATTGATAGCCTGTGAAGAAAGAGTCAGGCTGAGCCGAGGTTCGCATGCCCATTTATTAATTACCCTGCGCATCCCGTTTCCACTCCAGGCCCGTTGACGTCAGGAGGCATAGCCCTCAAGAAATGATCCTCAAAGGCCTTTAGCTCGCAGGCTAATGCGGGAGGCCACTTCACGCTAACGCCAGCGCAGCCTAGTCCCTTGGTTTTAAAGCTAAGGGCTGGTCACCCTGTTTTTCCCCTTCTGGAGAAACACTCCTGTGGCACCAGGGAGAACTTTAGAACACATTTTGCTTGGAAGTGGCTGATCCCTTTATTTTTGACAGGGTGCTTGCCCAAGTTGAGCGTGCCCAGCGCACGGCGCTCCAAAGCGTTGGAGGTTGGCCGGCCACGAAACTCTGGCCTCGTTCCTGGTTTTTTACTTGTCGGTGAAGCCTCCAAATAGGAAAATCGACGGTGGCTTTGCAGGCTAGGGCTCCCCACCCCCTCACCCGCGTGACCTCGAGGTAATTACGTTAGATGACTCGCTTCTGAGTAAAGGCCAGTAGGATCAGGCCGCTAAGCTGCTGGCCTTAATGAAGGCTTCTCTCTCACAGGCGAGCTCGCCACTTGGCCAGCAACCTGCCCCAGAGTTAGATTTAATAAGGCACGGGGCGCATCGAATAGGAAGGGGAGGGAGCCCTTCATTTTTCTTATTATTGCTTTATTATTGTTCGTGTTCCTTGTAAGCAAAGAGTGGCTACATTAACTACCTGCATCTTTCAAGTGGCCAGGAAAATAAGGTGCAGCCTAGGAGTGTCCTCCTTCAATACCTCTTCGTGGCTTTCCTGTTCCAGAAAGGAGAAGCTTTTCACGCCTCTTCCTGCTAACTGTTGCTACGATTTACCGGTTAGTCGGAAGGCAGGATAATATCCAGGAATGATGACGGTTACTACAGTTAATGAGGAGGAGGAAGATCTTAATAGTACTACTAATAATATGCAAAGCAGGCTATTAAAGGCTCCACGGTGATTTTTCCTGCTTTTCGACGAACAGTTTCCAGGAGGTGCTTTGCTATTTGCTCTTACTCTTAGCTAGGATTCGTTCAAGTCAGCGGCAGCTTAACCGCACGCCATCGTTCCGTTTTATTGACATTTGCACATGCCCCGCATTTAGGAAAAGAAGAAGACGCCTAAAGCTGCAGTGTTAGATATATAGTTACTCAGAAATAAGTCCTATTGAATTCAACGTCCCTTCAGCTTAGAAATATATAGGATCACATGGACTGATTGGCGATAAGAAGTCACTGCTCTTTAGCATCGTACGGCGGCTTCCAAAGACCGGCTAGATTGGGCCGTCTAAAGAGAGGGATCCTACGGGAAGTTCAGGGTTACCTCGCGGGAATGATTGTGTGTGTGTGGGGGGGGAGGATGAGTGCACGCCCGCGCGTGTTCTGTACTGTTTGGACGCTGCTGGTTCATTGCAAAATTATAATATGCGGACGTACTGTTGAGTCGCCTTTTTAACGAGCTGCGGCGAAGGAACAGGGGTTTGCGGTGGGGAGGAGAATTTTTGGGAGGACAGGGCAAGACGAATCTTATGTTGGTTCGGGGTTTCTGGAAGCCTATATCAAAGAGAGAGAGAGAGAGAGGACATTTTCCCAGCTTCTTTGGGAAGGATCTCAAACTCTTCATGGTGCCCATCCTCATCCTCTCCCGTCGGGATTCCCTGCCAGGACAATCTTCCAGGTAGCTCACGCGGCGCGGAGGGAAAACACCAGCCACTCATCCCAGCCCCAGAGCAGCCCCCAGGGTCATTCCATTCCCCAGCCCGCCCGTTATCCGCCGCCCCGCCGCCGCCGCCTCCCGCCCTTGCTCCGTCCCGGCTCTGCCGCCGCTTGGATCCGACCCGCTCTGGTCAATTACCCCAGCTGGGAAATATGAGCCCTGGTGCTGAGACTCCAGGGTTGGAAATAGGAGGGGTTGAAGATCGAGGTGGGGAGGGGTAGAGGTGGGGAGAAAAAGAGAACGATGAGGAATGAGAGAGAGAGAGAAAGAGAGAATGAGGAGGGCGGGAGAGACGTCGCAGACAAACTGAGGCTGTTTGCAGGCGCCAGCAGCGGGGAGATGAAAGAAAAACTCCTGGGGGAAGTGGCTGTGCAGTTTGACCGGCTCCAGCGAGAGCAGAAGCGGCGGCCTGTCCCAGGCAGCCCCGCCCCGCCACCTCC